GCCCTGCCCACCTGTACCATCTGGCCCATGGCACTACACATCATCCACTTAGTAACTTGAGTTCTATTCACAGGCTGTGCCCCCTTCACATCTACAGCATCCTGTCATTGTGAATGAGGCTGGAGGTTCTGTCCTGCCTCCCAGCCCTGGGTGCTTGTGAGTACCCTGTACTAATGCTGTCCACTTTCAGGTGCTGTGTGTGTGTTGTGTGCAGGTGGGCCATAGTGCGTAATTTTGACTTCCTGTAGCTTGCTAATCTTTTCTTCATTAGTCTTCTGTATGGTCCACCTGTGGCTCCTTGTGAACTCCTTAGCTCCCCTTCTCCTTCTGGAAGCTGCTTGTCTGCTCCCCCCAACACGCCACTCTGCCAAGCCTCTGTCCCTGAGTCTGGGCACATCCTCCCACACCTCTGCTGGTTGTTTTCTATCCCAAGAGTTGTAGAGGCTTCTTGCTGTCAGAGCCAGGGAAAGTACTAGCTTTTCCAGTGAGTGTGACAACAGCTGTGGGTATCATAGGTGCCCTTTGTCATGTTGAGGAAGCTTCTTCCTTTTCAAGTTTTTTTGTGGTACTGGGACTTGAACTCAGGGCCTTCACCTTGAGTCACTCCACCAGACCTATTTTTTGTGAAGTTTTTTTTGAGATAGGGTCTTGAGGAACTATTTGCCCAGGCTGGCTTCGAACCTTGATCCTTCTGATCTCTGCCACCTGATTACAGGTATGAGCCACCAGCACCTGGCTTCCTTTTCAAGTATATTGAGGCTTTTATGAGGAAAGGTGTTGGATTTCATTGGGCACTTTGTCTGCTTTTATTGAGGCAATTGTGTGTTTTGTTTTTATTGTTAATTTGGTGAATCACATTGATTTTTGGTTGTTAAACTAACCTTGCATTCCTGGCAGATGGGAGACAAACCACTTGGTCTGGGTGTAAAATCCTTTAGTGTGTTATTGTGTTTGGTTTGCTAACATTTTGTTTAGGGTTTACATCTGTGTTCTTGAGAGGCTGGTCTGCAGTTTTCTGCTGAAGTCTTTGTGTCAGGGTGGTGCTGGCCCTGCACAATCTGTGGGGATGTATATTCTCTGTTTGTGTAAGATGGTATTATTTTTTTCCTTAACTGTTTGCTAGAATTCATTAGTGAAGCCAAATGGGCCTAGGCTTTCTTTTGGGAAGATTCTAAATTACTAATTCAGTTTTTTATAAAATAGGATACAGTTCTACTTTAAGTAGTCCCTACTTCTCTATTTGTCTTTCTTGAAATTTGTCTGTTTCCTTCAAGTTATTATCCTTTCAATTTCTATAGGGTCTCTTGTGAAGCTCCCACATTCCTGACTTTATACGCACGCACTCCCCCTCCCCCAACACACTTCTGTTGCCACTGTTAACCGTCTTAAATGACACTGTTTCATGGTCTCTATTACCTTAGCATGCATACTTCACAATCATGGTACCATTTGGAGAACTTCCTTTTCTCCTGAGGAGCAGGGGATATGAACTCAGGGCTTTAAGCATACAAGGCAAGTGCTTCCTCTGCTGTGCTACAGTCTCAGCCACTGGGGACTTCTTTTTTGAGGCTTTTTTTTTTTTTCTTTTTTTTTTTTGTGGTACTGGGGTTTGAACGCAGGATCTCATGCTTGCTAGGCAGGTATTCTACTGCTTGAGCCACTCCTCCCGTCCTGGGGACTTTTTTAAAACAAGAAGAGTTTATTGTTCTCAACATAATAGTTCTGATGTCAATATGCACTGGAATCATAGGCACTTTGAGTTCCCTAATATGTAACTGTGACTGTGTGTTACTAACCACGACTGTCCTTGCCTGTTCCATGGCTTGTGGCCTTGAGTATCTGGCTGCTCCTTGGGCCAGCCCAGAGCTTCATGTGGACAGTGGTAGACAGTGCAGTGTTGTCCTGGTGCTCTGCCATCAAGGAGGTAACTCAGGAAAGTAGAAATACTGTTATCCAGAGCTGCTGGTGTATTGAGAGTATTTCATGGTTTTGGAAAATTTTAAACTTTATGTTAGCAGTTACTGTATAAGCCAAGAGATTGTCTCTTTTTATTTAGGGATAGGACTTTTGGATGTCACCTTTAAAACTGATTGAGACCTGAATGGTTTTTACAAAAACTTAGGACCTTGTAATGTTTTCAGATATTTTTGTAATACAGGTACTACAGCTCATTAGGCTTTGCCATTGTCATAATTGCCAATGTGCAGGGTGGCCCTGATTGTGACTGAGATGGGGGACAAGGGCAACTGTACACTTGGGGGAGAAGTGGGTGGGCCACTGAAGGGGGTACAGTTCTTGAGAAGGTAATGAAGGGATTCTGGAGCAAGCCAACCCTGATCAGCACTGGAGGGTACCAGAAGGTGGGGCCCTCTAGCCAGTGCCTGCTGTACAGGGAGGGTCCCCAGCATCCGCTGGGGTAGGGATTCTCTGATTCATGGTGGATTCATTGCAATTCAGATCTGAAAGTGTCCATTATTTTGTGACATTGGCTTTTAATGTTTTTAAGGTTTCAAAGTATCTAACCTCTGTTTTTTGCTTGGAGCCTGATGGTCTGGGTCTGAACTGTTTTGTGAGTCCACGTTTGTGAACTTGGGCTGGCTTTGTGTATACTGCCAGGTGGGCATGTGGATGGGTGGGTGGTGGGGCAGGGATAGCCATGTTCCAGACAGTGGTCATGTTAACTGGCAGTGCCGTACTATCCTCCTTTCTTACTCCTGGTCCCAGACCAGCTCCAGGGTTGCAGCATGGAGCATCTGTGTGGTCTGCAGTGGCCATGTGGTGCACAGTGCCAAGTGGTCTATAGTGGCTGTGTGACATCAAGTGGCCGAGTGGCGTGCCGTGCCAAGTGGTGTGCTGTGGCTGTATGGCTTGCAGTGTCTGTGCTGTGGCAGTCATGTTAAGTGGAGGGCGGCACCTCCCCTTCTCTAAGATGTTGTCATTCTTTTCCTGCTGGTGGTTGAGGCATGGCAGGATGGGTGGGAAGGTGCAGAGCCCTAGGGTTCTGCCAGGTGCTTCACAGCCTGCCCAGACTCATTCTTCCTGAGCCACCTCCTGGATGCCTCTGCAGATTTACTAGGAAGAAGTGAGAGGCTCCTGTATCATGAGCTCACGTTTTAAATATAATAATTTTGTGTGTTTTGGGAATGTTTTCCCAAGTCATGGCACAGTGTTTCAAAGGTGATGATTAAGGTCCTGGGTCACTGGCACCAAGCACATTGCAGAGATGGACACTTCCTAGAGACCTGTGATATTGGGTCTCTAGGGTGTTAGGATCAAGTGAAGCCACTGAAGTTCCCATCTGGAATGGTGGCTTAGGTTGATGGGGAGAAGGGTTGGGGGAGGAGAGGAAGGTTTGTGCTACTGAGGACCAGTGAGTTCCAGAAGTTTGCAGACTGTCATTGAGTGACCTCAAGTCCCAGACAAGAGCTGACACAGCCAGGCTGCTACCTTCCCACCTAGTGAGTGTGGGGACAGAGGCATGTGCTGCTCTAGAACCCAGTATGACTTGCACTATGGGGTCCTGTCAGAAGTCCTAGTGTGCCTTGTGGTGTCCTAGCTGCAGGCTGGATCCTGAGCTGAGGATGTTTCCTGAGGAGTTTGGTGCCAGGAGAGCCACAGAGCATCACAGGTTGCTCTGGGTCTTCTAGGTGCTGGGCCTGTTGCTAGTTTCTCATGTAAAATTCCTGGAACTTGATTGCCAAGGCTTGAATTTTACAGTTTGTTGTGTGTGCATGCATTTGTGTGTTTAGTGTGTATATGCTTATGCACAGAGGCCTGTGTATATGCACTTATGCATGCATGTGTTTATATACAGGTGTTTGTGTGTGTATGATTTATGTGGGTGGCTAACAGGGAGGGTCCAATGCAGGTGAGCAGAGACTTGACAGGACCTGGGTTTTGTAGTTTGGTGAGTGTGTGGAGGGTCCAGGACAGATGGGCTGAGATGGTAAGATACCTAACTCAGAACAGTTGGCCTTCTGACACTAACTTCTCATGAAGGAGTACTTTTGCTATTTTTTTTGCAAGTACTGAGCTCTAGGCACCTTTGGTTGAGTTACAGCATTTGTCTTCTAGACCTCAAAGTGGAAGTAAAAGTTCAGGGTGAGAATCCAGGGAGTTAGAACTAGTGTTCTAGTGAGAGCCAGTGTTCCATTCCGGGTCAGTGTTCAGTGAGAGTCAGTGTTCCTTTGAGGGCCAGTATTCTAGTTAGAGCTAGTGTTTGAATAAGGACCAGTGTTCTGGTAAGGGCCAGAGTTGTATTGAGGACCCATGTTCAGTGAGAGCCAGTGTTTCATTCAGGGCCAGTGTTCTGGTGGGAGTTAGTGTTCCAGAAAGGACCTGTGTTTTAGTGAGGGCCTGTGTTCCAGTGAGGGCCAGTGCTCCATTGAAGGCCAGCACTCCAGTTAGGGCTATTGTCTAGAGAGAGCCAATGTTTCATTGAGACTATGACATTCTTTCCTGATGGCCTCCAGGTTCATTCAGAGCATTGTGTATGGGGTCTGCATGTCATGATGGCTGTGATCACAGTGGGTGAGCAAGAGGTACCAGATCTGGCAGACACTTGGCCTGTGACTGGCAGGCAGGGCAGGATGCTTCTGTTGTTTTACCTAAGACAAGTGAGACTTGAGGAAGATGTCCTCTGGTTCCTTACCTCTGTGTAGGTAGTTTGGCCTGTAACTTTTGTCCCTGGGCATCTTATGCACAGGTAACTTAGACCCCATTGGGGCCCTCCCACCTCCTTCTTGCAGCCTGGTTCAGTCTGCGCTCACTTGGAATGGAGCTCCTCAGAGGAATGGACATGGCTGATATGCCCTTGCTGCAAGGTGACCTTGTTCAGTCTCTCGTAATTACTCCCTTCATCATGTATAAGATCTTTTCTCTTGCTGTTAGGTGGTGTGTGCTCACAGGAAAATTCTGGAAGATGCAACGAGCTGTTCTAATAATGTATGTTTGTTTTTAAACTTGTACATGTATTCACAACATTTTAATTTCTCTTTCAGGCTCAAATATTTAAGCATGGAAAGCGTGAAGACTGTTTACCTTATGGTAAGCTTTAAGACGAGTATATTTGTAGTGTGTGTTTGTTTGTACATAATCAAGTGTGCTGCCTTAATATTTTGCTCATAAGTCCAAGAATCCATAACTTAGTGTATTTGGATGCTATCATAGCTCTCACCTTTCTGTTTTGTGCCTTTTAATAATGGGACTTTTGGTGAACTCTCTTAGGTATTTGAAATACAGGAATTGCTGAGGGCTTATACTAGAGATCTGGGTTTCTTAGCATCCAGCTGCCCTGATTTGATCCCAGAGGGGCTTCGTTATGGTGGGTGTGGCCCCAAGGTTGCCACTGGCCTCCTGAGGCCCTGTAACAGTTTTGTTATCTGCCCCTAACCCCAGACACCTTATTCCCTGTCACCTTGTCCCTCTCCCTGTCACCTTGTCCTCCCTGTCATCTCATCCTCACTCCTTCCTCCAATACCCCATTCCCTGCACTGGGTCCCTGCCAGTCACCTGGTCCCTGCCTGTACCCTCATCTGGGGTCTTGGCTCCATCCCAACCTCTGTTCTTCCTCCTCTCCCTTGTGTGGTAGGTCTTAGTCTTATTCATTTCACCTCAGGCCTGACTCTGAGACACAGTCCTGTGCCTCTCTCCCAGGTCCTCTAGTCACTCCATGGAATGGTATCCTCACACTCTCCCAGCTTTAGCTTCTCCCAGCCTCCCTAAGCCCCTAAGTGGCCTGGTCCGGCCCTGCTTGCCTCTGCTTGAGAGCTTCTCCTGCAATGCTTCCTCCTGGGCTCAGTTGCCTGTTCCACCATTGTCACTGTTCCCATAGGGTGCTGAGAGATCTCCCTGCAAATAAAATGTACCTTAGAAACCCTCAGGTCATTTGTGTGGTCTCCTAACCGCACTTGTCCCTGTCCCCTCAGGCCTTGCATGGTCACTCTTCCATGCATGGCTACTCTTCCTCTGAGCTGTGGGCCTCCCTAGTTGTTGCTGGTGAGGAGAATAAGTGGGCTGCTCCCCAGCTGCTCTTGGCAACAACCCAGGGATAAGGGGGGTCTTGGGATCAGGGCTCAGGGTTCAGATTTAGCCATCACCTAGGTGTGTGGGATTAACTGGTCTGGGGGTGTGTGTCAGGACCAGGAGTGAGTTGGGGCCAAGCTGAGTCACATGTTCTCTTCACAGCCGACACCGTACTCCAGTGCCTTGACAGATGCAGACTTCCTGAGAGCAACCAGACCCTGCTGCGGAAGCTGGGGGTAAAGCTTGTGCAGCGGCTGGGACTGACCTTCCTCAAGCCAAAGGTGGCCTCTTGGAGGTGGGTCATGGAGAGGTGGTGCTGGCAGTATGGAGTGATGGGCAGTCTATCTTTCTTTAGTTTCTACAGTGCTTCTGGTTTTGAAGGGAGCAGTATTTGTTTTGGTTGTTTTCTGACTGTGTCCTCTAGTTAGGCTTGCTCCTGCCTTTCCCATGAGGGTTGCTCAGGTGCAGCCCATGGTCACTGGTCGCTGCTGGGGGAGCTCCTTTTGATCAGTGATGGATCTGGATTACAGGCTTCTCTACAAGAAAACAGGCTCACTCCTCCTGTTTTATTCAGACACAAGTGTCTGGTCATGGATGTGGTCAGCAGACTGGTTTTGAGTCACTTGCCCTGTGGCACAGACTCTGGCAATGTTCTTGGGGGCTGTGTTCTTTGTTTTATTTATTCCAGATGTTAATGTGTGTTATTGGGAAGAGACATTTAAGTTTAGTTTAAATTTTTTCCATTTTAGAGTGAATACCAGAGAAGTTTGTTGTGACTTAGGATGTTTTACTGAGGCATCTCGTATGTTTAGCTCACTCTAAGATGTTGTTTATTAATTAGACAGAATGTTAGTGACTAGTTTCCAAAATGCCATGGAAAATGGTTCAGAACTATGTCAGGCAGCACTCTGCAGAGAAACAGCAGTAGGATTTGTACACAATCAATCAGCATAAGGAATTACTCACACAGTTATGGAGGCCAGGAACACCTGAAGTCTGCAGTTTGTGTGGCAGGCTGCACATTCAGGAGGAGCCAAGGTTCTGGTCAGGCAACAGGCAGGAGGAATGCCCTCTCACTGTCTGGGAGGTCAGCTCAGGCTGTCAGCTGTTTGGATGAGGCCCACTCTCATTGGGGAGGATCACCTTCTCTGCTCACTGCCACCCAGAAACACCTTATATACGCGTCAAATTAACGTTAGCTCACAAGTCTCGCAATGTTCATGTGGGGAGGGAAATAATTTAGTGTTTTGGCTATTTGTTCAGTCTGTATCCTCACAAATGTAACTGTTAATATAATTGAGTTTTAAACCCACCCTCCTGCTGCTTGTTTTCTCTCATCCATCTTTTCCTCTTTCTGTGTACTTCAAACTTTCCATGTTCATTTTCTCCAGTCTTGTTATATTTAGTGCCTTTCTGTTGGGTATCTTCCTGGGCTGTGGAGTGATGGATGGATCCCCTCTTCCTGCCTGGTCTTGGTTTTAGGTTTGCTGGATTGGTTTACTTCAGTTCTTCTTGAGGGTGCAGCCCTCTCTCCCACAGCGCTGTCTTTGCTTCTCGTGTGTGACCTTTGGGGGTCTTAAGTGAGAGTGGGAGCCTCCAGTCTCCTCCTGCTGGGCCCCAGTTCCAGTGACCCCAATATTCCCCTGAGCTCTGAGCTCTTTGTGCAGCTCTTCCCTGACCCTGTTTCTGGATCCCACCCTGTGCTTGCTCATTGTGGGCTTTGTCCAGGGTCAGAGATAGCTCTCATAGGGAACTTGGGGCTCCTCAGCAGCTCTTGTTTCCAGTATCCTGCTTAATAGGTGTGGGCTGTCTGCAGCCTCTTCTGCAGTCTATAGATGGTACCTGTGAGACACAGGTAGAGGTGGAGCACACCTGCAGCTTCCTGTTGGTCTGTGGTTGTTATGACAGAAGGCTGAGTTCCTTGGCAGCCTGACATCTGTGACTTTATGCTCCCTGGCCTTGGTCACTGAACACCAGGGCTTGTACTTTTTCTATGAGATCATCAGTGTACTCACTGAGGAGATGGTGGTACAGTTACAGTGGTGAGTGCCCGCTGCCTATAGGGTGTGTTGCCTGGCGTGTGATGGTCTTGACAGCTTCTTGTGATGGCTGTCCTATGCTACCCAAATTCAGCAGCTTAAAACAATACATTTTTTCCCTGAGGTTTCTTTGGGCTGTCTTGGGGCCTGGCTCTGTTCCTCTGTTCAGAGTCCTAGGCTTAAAGAGGCATTGGCTAGAGCTGCTGTCACCTTGAGGCTAGGCTGGGAGACTCTGCCCCCAGTTTTGCTCCGTTGCGGATCAGCAGGATACAGCTCCTTGTGGGTCGTTTGCTGGAACCTCCTGCAGTCCCTGGCCACGCTGACCTCTCCATAGGGCAGTGAGCCAGACAGCAGCCACCATCTTTTTGTGACCTCACCTTGGAGGTGGCCTCCTGTCACTTTGGCACATTGTTCCTGGGGAGGGAGTTGCTTGGCTCAGGTATGACCACGCAGAGGGCCACAGGCCACTTTAGTGTTGGTTCCCACCCTTGTATTCCCCAAAGTTGGAAACTGAGGCCAGAGAAATGGAAGTCATTCAGGACTGCAGTCAGTAGTGTTGGGGCTGGTGCCTGGCTCTGCATTTTGGCTCCACAGCCCACATGTTTTGCACTCTGGGAGGCAGCCTTAGTCTGTGTCCTAGGATGCGCTCTGTACCACTCTGGGTGCTTTTTAGGCACTAGGCTCTGTCTTTGGAACTAGTCTTGTGGCTTGTCATGTGCTCACCTTGAGAAGGAAGTGGTGTTTACTGGGCATACTCTGCCCAGGCAGTCTGAGTACTCTGTGTCTCCTTTCTCATCCTAACAGTGGCTCTTGGGCAGTGCCATAACCCTGCTTTACAGGGGGGAAAACAGAGGTGTAGAGAGGTTCAGGAGCTGTGCAGTCATGCAGCTAAGTGTGTATGCAGCTGGGCTCGACCTCTTCACAGGACATCCAGGGGAAATGATGCCCCACTTGCTGGGGAACAGGGCTGTGGTGTGTGGGAGCTTGGCAAGCATATTCAGGAAGCAGGTCTATAGGAGCCCATGCCAGATGAGATGTGGCCATGGATGAGAAGGAGCCATGTGGCCTGGGTGGAGGCCAGAGGGCCAAGCAGCTAGGAAGGGCCGTTGTCTGCTTATAAACAAGGATGAGGATGTGCACCCTGTAGGCAACCTCTGCTCTCACCTTCTGCTGTTGAAGCTTTGCATCGGGGAAGGCCGTTGGGAATTCACACATGCATCTGTAGCTTAGGTTGACTTTCTTGGTGGTTCATGCCGATGGCAGCACTTTGCCCTTCTTCCTTTTCCTCCTGTCTCCATGCAGTGCATTCTCACAGACACCCTTTACGATTCCCAGTGATGCTAAACTGGTGACCTTCAGCACCAAGAAATTTATTTTTAGTTTTAGGCTATACCAGGTGACCTGCTTTGTTCTGTGTAGGTATCAGCGTGGCTGCAGGTCTTTGGCTGCCAACCTGAAGCTCAGTGCTCAGGGTCAGAGTGAGCAGAAGCTGCTGCTTGACAGTGTGACTGCTGTTGATGGTGATGAAGACTACGACATCCCGGAGGGGGTGGAGAGCGTGATAGGTAGGTGAGGCTCACAGAGGTGTCTATGGCACTGTCTGGACTGTTTCCCTCAGTGCCATCCTCCTCTTTTTTTTTTTTTTTTTTTCCCTCCTGACTGGCACCCTTGACCGGTCACCTTGCTGAACACATGGCCACTGACCTGTCCTCTCCGGGGACTCTCACTCTTCAGCAGCCCCAGTCTTCATAGTGACTCTTAGCTCTTCCACACTTCCTTCTGCACACTTGACCTGCCGTCTACTCACCCTGGGCATTTTGTAAAAAGGGCTCCCAGGGAAATTGAGGTGGGCACTTGGGGCTCAGGTATGCGATACCAACATCCATGTCTCTCATGCTTCCTCAGGGTCATCTCAATCTCCCAAATGTTGACCCACTGTCCTATAATGGCAGCTCCTTACCACCTGCAGCCCTGCACTCTCCTGCCTCAGCTGGACAAAGGCTTCCCCCATGCTCCTTCCTGTGGGGACCTTGGTTTGGAGGGCCAGGCTGGCAGACCTTTGCTGAGTTCTGTCCACTCACTTCCCTTGCTCTTCAACGCAGGTCTCTTCCCAGACTTGTCTACAACTTCCCCCCCACCTCTGCCTTGAGCATTGTGGCACTTTTGCTTGCCATCCCTTTTGTGCATGTGGTCCTTACCTTGACCTCTGATGCTTGACACTTTCCTGGTTGATGTCTTACCTGGTATCTGCACTGGATTGCTTAAAGCTACCTGGAACTCCACTGTCCTAGGCCATGTCCCCTTGGCCTCTTCCCTGCTGTTGCCTGACTGCCCCCCAGGCACATTCCCATCCACTATGCTCCCCCAACCACCCAGGCTCCTGACATTTTTCCTTTGACCCTACCCCCGTAGCTGTTTACCAAGTCAAACCTTCAGGGTCTGCCAGTGCCCTCTGGCAAAAGTTTGATCCTACTAGGGTTTTGGAGGACCACAATCCCAGTGTGACTTTGGACCATCTCTGGACTGCCTCTGGGCTGGTCTTGTATGAGGGCTTATCCTTACGTCTGGCAGGCCCCACAGCTGCTTAGCCACACTTGGCCTCCCCTCCTGTCGGCCCTCACTTTGGCTTTCACCTGGGAGATAGATGCTCCCTGTTGATTGCCCTGATGGGCTGAATCTACTTGTTAGGAGCAGTGGCAAAAATTGTCTTTTCTGTGTTTTTTTAAAAAAGAGGAGGAAGTGCTTTTTTAAATTATATTTCAATTTATGATTTTTTTTTCTTTCCTTTTTTTTAGTGGTACTGGAGTTTGAACTCAGGGCTTCCCACTTGCTAGGCAGGTGCTTTACTACTAGAGCCATGCCCCCACCCTTTTTGCTTTAGTTATTTTTCAAATAGGATCTTGCATTTATGCCAAGGCTACCTGGACTGTGGTTTGTGCTTCCAGAGTAGCTAGGATGACAAGCGTGTGCCACCATGCCCAGTTTTTTTTATTGGTTCAGATGAGGTTTTGTGAACTTTTTTTGCTCATGCTGGTCTCGAACCATGAACCTACCTATCTCTACCTCCCAAGTAACTAGAATTACAGGTGTGAGCCACTGAGCCCAGACTCTTTTTTTTTTTTTTTCTTTCTAGGCAGATGCTCTACTGCTTGAGCCATGCCTCCAGTCCTTTTTTTCTTTGGTCATTTTTGAGATAGGGTCTTACTTTTTGCCCAGATCAGCCTGGACTGCTGTCCTCCTATTATAGGCTTTCTGCTGTAGCTGGGATAACAGGTTCATGCCACTGTGCCCAGCTATTGTTTGAGATGTGGTCTCATCAACTTTTTGCCCAGGCTGGCCTTGAATCGTGAGCCTCCCAAGTAGCTAGGATTATAGGCGTGAGCCTCTGGCACCTGGCTCTATTTTCCTTTTTTTGGGGGGTGAGGGGGGAGGGGCTTAATATGTAGCCTAGCTAGCCTTGGACGCATGATGCTCCTGCTTCAGCCTTCCCATTGCTGAGATTACAGACATGAACTAATGTGATGGGCTAAAATTAAGATTATATGTAGTTCTTTGCAGGGTGTTCTTTGGAATGGATTTACGCAAGCTAGAGGATCAAATACTTATCAAGGCTGATGGCTTGTGTCTTGGTTCTTGCAGAACAGCTGCTGGTTGGGTTGAAGGACAAGGACACAGTGGTGCGATGGTCTGCAGCAAAAGGGTAGGTGCTGGTGCCCTGGATTAAGGGTGGGTGCTTTGGGCAAAGGGTGGGCACTGGATGCCCTGGTGAAAGGTAGGTGCTGGTGCTCTTTGCAAGGGTCAGATGCCTCAGGTGAGGAGCTGGTGCCCTGGCAGTGTTGGCTCTTCAGTCATTAAAAATTTTACATAGGTGCCAGGTATGGTGGCTCATGCTTGTAATCCCAGCTACAGAGTAGGCAGAAATTGGGAGGGTAGCAGTTGAGGCCAGCTGGGGCAAAAGTTAGCTAGGCTCCATCTTAGTCAATAAGCTTGGCATGGAGGCAGGTGCTTGTGACCCTAGTTTCGTGGGAGGTCTTACTGAAGAGGTTCATGGTCTGAGGTCAGTCTTGGACAAAAACCAGAGATGCTGCTTGACAAACATGGGCTGGAGTCATGACTCAAGTGGTAGAGCACCTGCCTAGCAGGTGTGAGGCTCTGAGTTTAAACCCCAGTACCACCACAATAGTTTTTTTGTTCATTTGTTTGTTTTTGGTGGGACTGGAGCTTGAACTCAGGGTTTTGCGCTGCAAAGTAGGTACTCTGTCACTTGAGCCACATTTTGCTCTGGTTATTTTGGAGATGAGGTCTTGAGAAGTATTTGACTGGGCTGGCCTTAAATCTTGATCCTCCCAAGCTCAGCCTCTGAAGTAACTAGGATTACAGGTGTGAGCCACTGGCCTCCCCAGTTTTTTTTTTAACATGGGGTTTTTAAAAAGAAAAACTATTTTCTGATGCACATTCTTTTTTTTTTTTTTAATTTATTAGCATATAATAGTTGCATGGGGGATATATTGTGATATTTACATGTGTGCTTACAATGTATCTTAGAGTTACCCCCTCCATCTGCTACGTTTCTTGTATTACAATTAATTTTAAGGATATTTACCGTGTTTCAGGCTCCTGAGGGGGGTGGGTGGGGCTTATAGGGCTAGATGATCCACAAAGTAGAGTTCAGGTTGTCACAAGGCCCTGTTGTGGAGAAGTTGAGGTGGGAAGAGCTGGCAGATGTGGGGCATTTTGGCTTTTTGGCCAAAAGTTCCCTTGAGACCACAAATGCCCTGGAGCTACTCATGGCCAATGGATTCCCAAAGGCTTTGGCTTTCATATCAGCAGGGGATGAGTCTTGGCCCATAGTCAGTGTGGCTGGGTGTGAGACAGGCTGGGAGGGTTCTTCCCACAAGTCTGAGTCCAGGCCTCTGGCTGTCTTCCGGGTTGGGCCTGTACCCCCACACTGAGCATCCTTGGGGGAGCTGGCAGAGTCAGTCTTTGGGGAAGCCCAGCCAGGTCGAAGGTTTGGATTGGAGCTCAGCATATGATTCTGGTGCCCAGGTGCTGTTGGCCATCTGTGATGGACTCAGTGTTCACAGTACTGTGGGGAGAGGTGACTGCCTTCTCCACCTGCACGCCTAAAAGCCCCGTCCCTGACATGCAGTGTCTGAGGCTTGCCCTCCCGTTTGTTCTCTGGGAGAAAGGAGGCTTATTCGGCACTGTTAGTTATGTGTGGCTGACAGGCTTTTGCTTTTATTTTTCAGAATTGGTAGGATGGCTGGGAGGCTCCCTAAAGTGCTGGCGGATGACGTGGTGGGGTCTGTGCTGGACTGTTTCAGGTATGTCCTCACCCTCATGCACAAAGTTATGGCTTTGCTCTCCTATGTCCTCTCAGATCTTCTTTCAGTTGAGCTTTTCATCAGAACTCCAAAGCCCATTTTTCTCTTTTGAAGTTCAGCTTGAGTACTCTAGTCATCTGGTGTATTGCTGTTGTTAACACAATTATATTTAAACCTTAAGGAAGAAGCGAGGCCAGTGTTGAACCTGTGCACCTGTAGCCCTTCACTCTCAGGTGTGATACTGGGCCTGCCTGTGAACAGAGCTTCTGGAATGAGGACATACTGTGGAGCTGTCTCTAGTGTGGCTACTAGCCAGTGTGGCTGCTGCGACTGAGACCTGGATTTGAAGTTGAACTGAAGTTCAGCCTTTTGGGCATTCTGAGTGTGGGGGCATGGGGCCTGTGTTTGGTAGGGTGAAGGTAGGTGCAAACCTAGGGCTATAGACTAGTGTCATGTGCTTGTAGGCCTGGGCGTGGTCCTTACCTCCTTGAGGATTATTACTTTGCGTGTGATGGTGTCTCTGGGTTTTGGAAGAAGAAGGTTGTCTTGTGCTTTGCCTTGGCCCTCTGTCAGCTGGCACTGTTCTGGGCCTGTCACGCTGGGAGGCTGTGACTGGCTGGCAGGAAGGGCACTGTCAGCACTTCAGATGCTACAGATGTGTTGCCTGAGTCTTTAGAGGCAGCCCAGCCAGCAGCCCAGTCTCCTTCTGGAGCATTTCTGCTAGTAGCCTTGGGGCTGCTCATGACAGTTACCAAGTGCAGGAAGTGGTATGTCACACGCTGGCATCTGTGTGGAGTGATGCTGAGTGTCATGGAAATGGTCCCAGCAGAAAGAACTCTCCTTGCTGGGATTGGTTTGTGGAGTGTGGGGTTAATGAGTAAGCGCACAGCTTCTCTGGACATTCCAAGGCCATGGAACTCCTTTCTGGAGGGTGCAGGATGGACTGGCAGTGGCTGATGGGTCTGTCCCTGTGTTGACTGGGTAGTGGTAAGGCAGCTAGGCCTTCCTGCTCTCAGAGGATGGGAAGGCCAGCCTCAGAGAGGGTGTCAAGGGCTGAGATGCCACCAGTCTTTTCTCCACAGCCTCCCTGAGTCCTGTGGCCATTGGCCCTCCAGTGCTATCTTTGTTGCTTTCTTTTTATAGTGTTCCTGCATGTTCCCTCTGATCATTTAGAGCTTTTTCTTTCTTTCATTTTTGGTAGTACTAAGGTTTGAATTTAGGAATTTAGGGCCTCCTTCTTGCTAGGCAGGACTCTTTTTTTTTTTTTTTCCATTTTTCTTTTATTATTCATATGTACATACAAGGATTGGTTCATTTCTCCCCACTGCCCCCACCCCCCCTCCCTTACCACCCACTCCGTCCCCTCCCTCTACCCCCCCCCAATACCCAGCAGAAACTATTTTGCCCTTATTTCTAATCTTGTTGTAGAGAGAGTATAAGCAATAATAGGAAGGAACAAGAGTTTTTGCTGGTTGAGATAAGGATAGCTATACAGGGCATTGACTCACATTGATTTCCTGTGCGTGGGTGTTACCTTCTAGGTTAATTCTTTTTGATCTAACCTTTTCTCTAGTACCTGTTCCCCTTTTCCTATTGGCCTCAGTTGCTTTGAGGTATCTGCTTTAGTTTCTCTGCGTTAAGGGCAACAAATGCTAGCTAATTTTTTAGGTGTCTTACCTATCCTCATCCCTCCCTTGTGTGCTCTCGCTTTTATCATGTGCTCATAGTCCAATCCCCTTGTTGTGTTTGCCCTTGATCTAATGTCCACATATGAGGGAGAACATACGATTTTTGGTCTTTTGGGCCAGGCTAACCTCACTCAGAATGATGTTCTCCAATTCCATCCATTTACCAGCGAATGATAACATTTCGTTCTTCTTCATGGCTGCATAGAATTCCATTGTGTATAGATACCACATTTTCTTAATCCATTCGTCAGTGCTGGGGCATCTTGGCTGTTTCCATAACTTGGCTATTGTGAATAGTGCCGCAATAAACATGGATGTGCAGGTGCCTCTGGAGTAACAGTCTTTTGGGTATATCCCCAAGAGTGGTATTGCTGGATCAAATGGTAGATCGATGTCCAGCTTTTTAAGTAGCCTCCAAATTTTTTTCCAGAGTGGTTGTACTAGTCTACATTCCCACCAACAGTGTAAGAGGGTTCCTTTTCCCCGCATCCTCGCCAACACCTGTTGTTGGTGGTGTTGCTGATGATGGCTATTCTAACAGGGTGAGGTGGAATCTTAGCGTGGTTTTAATTTGCATTTCCTTTATTGCTAGAGATGGTGAGCATTTTTTCATGTGTTTTCTGGCCATTTGAATTTCTTCTTTTGAGAAAGTTCTGTTTAGTTCACATGCCCATTTCTTTATTGGTTCATTAGTTTTGGGAGAATTTAGTTTTTTAAGTTCCCTATATATTCTGGTTATCAGTCCTTTGTCTGATGTATAATTGGCAAATATTTTCTCCCACTCTGTGGGTGTTCTCTTCAGTTTAGAGACCATTTCTTTTGATGTACAGAAGCTTTTTAGTTTTATGAGGTCCCATTTATCTATGCTATCTCTTAGTTGTTGTGCTGCTGGGGTTTCATTGAGAAAGTTCTTACCTATACCTACTAACTCCAGAGTATTTCCTACTCTTGTATCAACTTAAGAGTTTGGGGTCTGATATTAAGATCCTTGATCCATTTTGAGTTAATCTTGGTATAGGGTGATATACATGGATCTAGTTTCAGTTTTTTGCAGACTGCTAACCAGTTTTCCCAGCAGTTTTTGTTGAAGAGGCTGCTATTTCTCCATCGTATATTTTTAGCTCCTTTGTCAAAGATAAGTTGCTCATAGTTGTGTGGCTTCATATCTGGATCCTCTATTCTGTTCCACTGGTCTTCATGTCTGTTTTTGTGCCAGTACCATGCTGTTTTTATTGTTATTGCTTTGTAATATAGTTTGAAGTCAGGTATTGTGATACCTCCTGCATTGTTCTTTTGACTGAGTATTGCCTTGGCTATTTGTGGCCTCTTGTGTTTCCATATAAATTTAACAGTAGATTTTTCAATCTCTTTAGTGAATGTCATTGGAATTTTGATAAGAATTGCACTAAACATGTAGATTACTTTGGGGAGTATCGACATTTTTACTATGTTGATTCTACCAATCCATGAGCATGGGAGATCTCTCCACTTTCTATAGTCTTCCTCAATCTCTTTCTTCAGAAGTGCATAGTTTTCCTTGTAGAGGTCTTTCACATCTTTTGTTAGGTTTACACCTAGGTATTTGATTTTGTTTGAGGCTATTGTAAATGGAATTGTTTTCATATATTCTTTTTCAGTTTGTTCATTATTAGTGTATAGAAATGCTAATGATTTTTCTATGTTGATTTTATATCCTGCTACCTTGCTATAGCTATTGATGATGTCTAGAAGCTTCTGAGTAGAGTTTTTTGGGTCTTTAAGGTATAGGATCATGTCGTCTGCAAATAGGGATATTTTGACAGTTTCTTTACCTATTTGTATTCCTTTTATTCCTTCTTCTTGCCTAATTGCTCTGGCTAGGAATTCCAGTACTATGTTGAATAGGAGTGTAGGCAGGACTCTTGAGCCCCAGCCCTTTTTTGCTTTAGTTATTTTTCAAGGAGGGTCTCACGTTTTTGCCCAGTGCTGGCCTCAGACCGTGATCCCTCTATCTATAGTGTCCCAAATGGCTGGGATTATAGGTATGTACTACCACAGCTGGCTAGAGCTTTTTATCCAATCCCTCCTGGAGTTTTCCCTTCATCTTTCTCCTGCCTCTGGTCTCGCTGGCACCCTCGGCCTATTCCCATGGGTCTTAACTGATTCTGGGTGTGCATTACTCCTCCAGACTGTGTTCTTTCTGGCTCACAGTTTTGGTCTAGTGTCAGTTTGACCTTCCAACACTCCTGCTACTTTAATTTGTGCATCCCATTTTTGTAGCTGGGTTTTGGAGGGTGGAAGTGGTCCTAGTACTCTTGAATTCTCAGCCCTTAACATTAGTCAGGTGTGTATAGGAAGAACCATGATGCTGTGTGTGAGCAGAGGCCAGAGTTCTTGGCCTCTCCCTTCTACTCCTCATGGCCTCACTGTTCTTTGCCTTCCATTCCTGGGTCCCATGCTCCAGAATGGCCCTCAGCTTAGGTCTGAGGGCAGGAGCTTGCCTGGAGTGCCTGGCTCAAGTTCCCCCTGGCCCTGTTGTCTGAGGACTGGGCCCTACTCAGGTATGAGTGTGCAGTGGTGGTTTGCCCCTCAGGCCAGGCCAGCCTGGCAAGAGCTGCAGTGACACACTTCTTGCTTAGAAACAGACATTGGATGCTTACATTTGAGTCATCGTAACATCGGTACTTTATCAAGTCCATTCTGATATCATTAAATCTCCATGGAAAGTGTGAAGAGGCCTCTCTCCAGTTAAAGTCCTGAGATTTTAACAAAGTGTCCACATTAAGATTTGGAAATGGTCACACAGCCTTTGGCAGATATTTGGTAAGACACTGGATTGAAGCAGTTGTAACTGTGATGAAGTCACTGGTGGCAATGAGCTCAGGGGCTTACAGAGGCCTTGTGAATGTTCTCCAGTGAACGGTGGCTTTCTGTGGCTCCTTTTCAGTTGAACATTCTCCTGCTCATTGCAGCTGGGGGTGCACTCTAGTGCTCCCCTACACATTCCTTTGCTGTCAAGTTAATTTGATCAGAATTGGTAAAAGGCCCTGTAACTTGTTTTGCTTTTTCTCGAGTGTGTTTCTGTTGGCAGCAAAACATGGAAACTTCAGAGCAGTCCTGACCAGTCCTGAGAGCAGTCACTCAGACTAATAAGCATGACAGGCCACACCCTAAAGACAGCTTCTAAGCCACTGCAAGACATTGTTATTAAAAAAATAGGATGGTACTTTTGACCCGATTAATTGGCATTATCAATTAAGTGTTCATTAAAAATTCATATTTCAGCCAGGCGTGGTGGTGTATGTCTACAATCCCAGCTAAATGGTAGGGGAAAATGGTCTAAGGCTGGCCCAGGGCAAAAATATGAGACTCTATATGAAGAATAACTAAAGCAAAAAGGGCTGGGGTTGTGGCTGAAGTGGCAAAGTGCCTGCCTGGCAAGCTCAAGGCCCTGAGTTCAAACCCCAGTATAGTAAAAAAAAAAAACCCTCAAGGTAAAACATTTCAAGTAGCCATAGAGGTTCATCTGTGGTCCCAGTTACTTGAGAGGATGAGGCACGAGGATTCTTGAGCCCAAAAATCAATGCCGGTCTGGGCACCATCGCAAAATGCCACACACACACACACACACACACACACACACACACACACACACACACAAAGTCCATATTTCAAATGGTACTAAAAAATGTTATTTCATTACTAAAAATGTTATTTCATTCTGATTTTTTAAAACCTTGACTACTTGAGTTAACAGTGGGTGTCATCAAAGGAGTCTTACTGCTCCTTTTTCATGGATCTTGTCTGGGTTGACTGGAGTCCTGGGGACTTGGCTAAATCTGGGCATGCAGAGCAGCAAGGGCATTTCAGTGGTACCCTGGGAAGACCCCACCTGGGGCCTGCGCTTAGTGAGATGTCACCAGCCATCCAAATGATGCAGATGGTAGACTGTCTCTGGGTTGGGTCTTGGGGCTACTCAGGACTTTTCCTCAATGTGTGGAGGTCTGAAGAGAGGTACTAACTTGGCAGATCTTCATATTATGTTTAAGTGTCTTATTTCTTTAGCCAAGAAGGGAAGACCATGGGCCAGCCTGTGCTTCTTGCTGAACTGTGGGCTGACACCTGCCAGTTGACATCAGAACTCTGGTCTCAGTTTTCAGGAGACAGACAAGGCGTGGCATGGAGGATGTCTGGCGTTGGCAGAACTGGGCAGACGAGGCCTGTTGCTCCCCTTGCGACTCAAGGAGGGTAAGTACTTGAAGCACGTGGATCTGTGTCCTTAGGCTGATGTGGCATGATAGGGATCCTCAGCTGAGCCATCTCCCTGGCGTGGCCAGTCATGTACATACACACAGTGTGTGGGAGAGCGCATTAGATGCATGTCTTGGAGACTTTTTTCTTGTACCAGCCTTTACGATTTCCTGATTGCATGTTCCGCCCACTGTGGAATTTGCCTACACAGACCATGGTGGTGTCTGTTTTTCTTGTCTGCGGAGTTGATTTTCACCTTCTTGATGTCATTCATTGAGAGTATCTGCAGCTGTAGAACCTGGTCCCCCACAGCATCCTTTGTCACTGGCAGGGACAGTGGTGCTCTGGTGATGAGGCTCATGCTACATTTTGTTGGGCTGAGAATCAGGATGGAAGGCTGGGGAAACTCCGCAGTGGCAACTGTGGGGCTGAGCTTGGAGACAGTGTGGGGGACAGGAGAAGGACTATGCGTCCTGGCCAGGTGTAGGCAGAGGTGGGGAGCTGTGACCGTGTCTGGTTGGGGATGGTCCCTGGTGTGGCTGGAGGTGCCCCATGAGTAGGAAGACAGGAAGTCCACAAAGGGCCCAGAGGACCCTGCCCAAGTGTATTCCATAGATGCTGTGCCTCATCAGGGTCTGCACCAGGCACGGCAAGCAGAGCAGAGCAGAGCAGCACAGTGTGGGAGATCCTCAAGCTGCAAGTCCTGTTTAGCCTTTGTGTTTTTGCAAAAGCAACTTCATTGTGATGTTTGTGTGCTGTAAAGTTCACCTATTTCAAGTGCATAGCTAAGTGGTCTCTAGCACATTCGAGGTTGTGCAACATCACCACAACTTCAGAACATTTTCATGGCCCCAAGCAGAAACCCTCACTTAGGAGCAGTCACTCCACACCACTCCCTAGCCCTGGGCGATGCTGATGTACTTTCTGCTGCTCTATTTTGCTTTTTCTAGACGTTTCATAGAAACGGAATCTGTAATATGTGCTTTTGTCATGTTTGACTTCTCTCTCTCTTTTTTTTTTTTTTTTGGCAGTACTGCTTTTGAACTCAGGGCCTCACACTTGCTAGGCAGGCGCTCTACCACTTGAGCCACTGCACAAGCTCTGTTTTGTGTTTTTTCTTTTTGAGATAGGGTCTCGAGAACTGTTTACCTGGGCTGGCTTCAAACCACGATCCTCCTGATCTTTGCCTCCTGAGTAGCTAAGATTATAAGTGTGAGCCACCAGTGCCCGGCTGAATTATTATTAGTGTAATTTTCTTTTGCTTTTGGTGGTACTGGGGTTTGACAGGCGTTTTAATGCTTGAGCCACACCAGAGCTTTTCTCTGGTTATTTTGGAATGAGGGACTTGCTTTTTGCGCAGTCTGGCCAGGATCGATCATCCTGTTCTATGCTTCCTGCTGCTGCTGAGATGACAGGTGTGTACCACCATGCTCAGCTTTTTTCTATCAAGATGGGGTCTAGCTAGCTTCTTTGCCTGGGCTGGCCTGGAACCATAATCCTCCCTCAACCTCCCAAGTAGCTATGATTGCAGATGTGAGCCACCGGCGCCTGGCTAGTATGTTTCTGATGTTTATCCGTGTTGCAGCATGTCAGAGGTCCACTCCTTTTCACTGTCTGCATGCACCACCTTTCCTTTATTTTCATCAGTTGGTGGACGCTTGGGTTGCTCTGTCTTTCTGCTATTATGAATAATGCTGCCGTGATCATCTGTGCGCGGGCTTTTTTGTGGATGTAGATCTAAGAGAGGAATTAAGAAACTGCCGAACTTTCCCACCACCATGGTTGCACCACTTTCCAGTCTTGCCAGCTGTGTAGGAGGGTCTAGCTTCTCCACATCCTCATAACATTCGTTTTTGTCTCTGTTTCTCTCTCTCTCTCCTTTTTTTTTTGGTGTGACTGGGGTTTGAACTCAAGGCTTTGTGCTTGCAAAGCAGGTGCTCTAATGCTTGAGCCACACCTCCAGCCCATTTTGTTCTGGATATTTTGGAGATGGGATCTTGTGGGGCTGGTCTTTAACCATGATCCTCTTGGCCTCCATCTTCCAAGTAGCTAGGATTACAGGTGTAAGCCACTGTTGCCCAGCTTATTTTTTGTCCCTTTTTTAAATTTTTTTAAATGCTAGCCATTGTAGAGAGTATGGAATATTACCTTATTGTATCCTGACGACCCAGGAAACAGTCTGGAACTGTGCTCCCAGTGTTACCAGATGACGACTGTTCCTACAGCTTAGACTATAAGGGGGCTTGTTAATTATGTTGTCATTTGTCAGGAATTGTGATTGGTGTGGGAAATGTCAAATGTCTTGTAAGAAAGGATAGGCCCAGTCTCCAGGGGGAGGGCTTTACAATGGTTACAAGTGGTGAACTCCATTCTCCACTTAAGAAGTCAGAGGGTATGTGCTGACAGCTCAGGTCCACAATTCAGCTGTGATGCTCCTGAGACCTGGCTTAATGAGATGTCTGACCTCTGGCTCTGGAGCTTAAGCAGTGCTGCTGCTCTTGGGTTTTCCTCATCAGGATGTCACGGGGTAGCTGGAGTATAGGATAAGGATGTTGTTATCATCAGTGAAATGGGATGTAAAATAAGTGTGGGTAGCTGGTCTCCCACCTGCCATGCCCTGTGTGAGCGAACCTCCCTGCAGCCCCTGCCTGTGACTGGTGGGGCCTGGGCAAGCTGGGCTGTCTCCTGCGGGGGAAGCCTTCTGTCAGGCAGGGGTGATGAAGACTCTGGGGAGGCGTGGCACATCTGCAGCATGCTTTTTATGTTTTTGTTTTAGTTCTTAAAATTTATTTATTTATTTTTGTGATACTGGGGATTGAAACAGGGCCTCGTGCATGCCAGGCAAGCACTGTACCATTGAAACTTGCCTCAGCCCTCTTGTATGTAGGTTGTTTTTGAGGGTCTCCCTAACTTTGCTGAGGCTGGTCTTGAACTTGAGATCCTTCTGCCTTTGCCTCTCAAGTAGCTGGGATTACAGGTGTGAGCCACCACACCTGGCCATTGTTTTTTTTAGACCTCACACCATACCTCTGAGAATGGTCTTGTCTGTGTGAAGCCATAGCTGAGGGGCTGAGTAGCCCCACACTTCTGTGTCTCATTGGAGCCACTGTGACTTTCTATCAGTTTAGTTTGGAAAGCAAAATCAAACACTTGGCAAAGCACGGTCTAGGAAGATAGAGTGTGGATGAGCATGTGGGTGACTAGAACTTGTGTTTGTGTCATAGAGGACAGGGAAGCTTCAAGGTGCCTGTTGAAGGAGGAGGAAGTGGCCCTGGAGAAGTCAGTTTGGAAGGCAAAGGTTCCTGCTGACGTCTGTCTTGAAGGCAGCCAGTCCTTTGCCCGAGTCTTGGAGAAGGCCAACTTTAGCACAGAGCAGAGGCTCAGGAAGGCTTCTTAGGGAGTTCTGCTGGTTCCTCTCCATGCACATATACCTGCACACAGATGCCTCATTTGTTGTGCCATAAGCCTGTGTCTTGATCTTTGCTTTAGTGGACAAGGAATCATGTTCTCTGTCTTCCTGAGGACCATTGTCAAAGTGCTCCATGGCCATCTATATTTCAAGTGGCCCAGATGCTGGGCTTGCTTTTATGAAGGCCTGGTTTTGATCCTGTCACCTCTTTCAGAGTTCCTCTCTGAGCTCCTGAAGTGTTATTGTGGGTGTAACTGTGCCCGAGTAAACTGGTGTAGGGTTGTGGGCCACCAGGATTTCCTCTTTTGGGTATGAGAATAGGTGGACTGGTTCCAAAATTTATCACTTCAAAAAAAAAAGAAAAAAAGATACAAAACAATTGTAAGAATTTTTGTAAATGCCACAATGTATCCCCTCCCAGCACAACAATTAAAAAAAAAAAAAAGAAAGAAAAACAAAATTTATCCCTCTAAACCGACTTAAGCCTGCCCCCAGCCATCCGTAGGTAACCTCAGTCTAGTTCCTGCCTCTATGAATTGGCCTATTCTAGGGACCTTGTGCAAGTACAAAGTTGGTATATTTGGCCTTGTGTCTGGCTTATTTCACGCAGCATCATGTTCTCAAGGCTCACCCACATTGTCACACACAAGAATTTCCTTCCTTTATATTGTGTGCTTGCACCACTCTGTCCTCATCAGCGCAGCTGCCATGTTCCTACCTCCTGGCTGTTGGGACAGTGCTGCTGTGAAATGGAGGTGCGGGTGCCTTTCTGAGACCTGCTTTCAGTTTCTCTGAGTGCGCCTGGCAGAGGCAGTGGGCCCTGTGGTGAATCTGTTTCCCTTTTGGAAAGTTTACCATCTTTTGTAGGTAAAGGTAGGAACATTTAGCTCTTTTAAGTCAGGCCATGTATGAATGCAGAGAGGTAGTGTAGTTGGGACTTTTTGTTATGCAGCTTTTGTTCTAAAGGCGGAAGAGAGCCTATCCTGGTTATGGTGGGTGTGCTGATGCAGTGACCTTGAGAGGTGGTGTTTCCCCTGGATGGTTTTTGCTGTGGGCTGATGGTGGTGTGTTTGAACCCAGTGCTTCAGGCTGAGCATTTTTTGCTTGGTGGAGCGGCTCCTTGTGCTGCATCTGGGAGGGGTAGCAGCTGCTGCAGCCCCTCCTGTTCGTCATTTAAGGTGATGCTGACACTTGGGTGAGCTGTCACACAGTTTCTTAGAATCCCAGGGCAGAACAGAGGCTGAGTTCTTGCATGTGTTGAGCACACAGTGAGGACTCCTTGTCTGCAGGTGTGAGACTTTGGGTTTCGAGCATAGAGCACAAGCTGGAAGCATCATTGCTGCTTGTTGGGTGCTTCCGTTGGAAGCAGGAGAGTTCATGTTTTTATTCTTTGCCAAAACACATTGGTAGATATAAAAAAGAGCCCAGGCATGCTGGTGAGTGCTGTAAGTGGGTTTGTTGGTTTTGCATCATGACAGTGTAAGTAAGGTTTGGGTTAGTGGTAGATAGTGGTCTGAATGGGACCAGCGACTGCCCCTGGCTCTCTTTGCTGCATCTTTGGGGACTGTTTGTAACAGTGGCCTCATGT